CCTGAGGCCTAGAGTTGAATAGGAGGCCTCTGGCAGCCAGCCTCCAGACAACAGAAGAAAAAAACCGGAGGGGGGGGAGGCTGCAACTTCGCCCCGAAAAGGGCTGCGGGAGGCCAACAAGCACTAACCAAGACTAGCCAGGCAGTTCAATGGGCAGCTAGGCTTTAACCCTGGGCCTGGAGATTTAATTCACCGCAGCTGAATATTAAATAAAAAGAAACTTTCAGCGCCCGGCCACGAGGTGGAGCCAAAATGGCGTCCGCGAGCTGAACTGCCTGGGCGCCTTCGGGACGGAAAGAAAAGGAAGGCTTGGCCGGTCAGCTCGGCGCTCCTAAAGCCTTAGGGGCGATAGCCCTCCCGGTTGGCGTTTAGGGTGGGGGGGAATCCAGCGGAGGAGCGCGTGCCACAGGCAACGCGCAGGCAGCGACACGATCTGATAAGGGTGGGGGGGGCGTCGCGCTGAAGGCGCTGCGAGCCCGCAACTTCGCCCTGAGGACAGGGAAGAAATTTCCCTTGAGTCCTGACCCTTTGCGCAGGAGGAGGAAGGAAGCAAACCTTATTAGGACGGAGGATTCAATGAAACAGCCAAGGAGCTCTTTGAAACGCAGCCTGATTCTTCGAGGCTGAGCAAAAGACTGGGGAGACGCTGCGCGATGCCACGTGGGAGGGGCGGAGCGTTTCCTCGTCTAAAGCTCAGCCTGAAAGAAGAGGACTCAGAAGCACATCCCACAGTCTGGATGCTCCGAGCGGCTCGAGGGAGAATTTCTTCTTATCCTCTCCTGTATTTCTGGTCTGAGCTGTAATTATTGTTGCGGATCTTCTTGAAAGTTATCTCCATATTACGTTTTTGTTTTTAGATAATGTGATGCACGCCCTATAACAGCTCTTCTCAATTGGCATTCTGCAAGAGGGCCATAGGGGTTCTGTGGGACAGTGTAATTAGAGGTGAGGAAATTATTTTTTTTAACCACCATGCAATGCTATTGCTCAGTGTGATGGGACGTTTTATGCACACGATCCAGCAGCTGACCTTCCACTTTGCTATAGCTATAAATGTTGCTTCGGTCCTAATAGATGGGTCAGACCATGAAACCCAACTACACAGGAAACCTAAAAGCACCACAAAACCTTGCAAGTCTGATTCTGTTATCTTCTCCTCATCCTTGTAGTTCAGCCAAATAGGGAGGTGTTTGCCTGTGTCCTTTCTGAACGTTATCTGGACATTTGGGTTTTTTTTTAAAAATGTTTTCGTCTTTTTTGCTTAGGCAACAGCTTCTACCTATCTCCATCAAGGTCACCTTCACTACTTTATACATATTGTAAAATGTACATTATGGTGAAGTGAATGATTATATTTGGGGTTTTTGTATGTCTGAAAACATAATTGTTATTCGTTTCTCAAGACCTGAAAATTATTTTAAGGATTCCTTCAAAATAAAAACATCAAGAAAGGCTGTATTATAATATAGCATTACTTGTGAACCACACTATAGATAGCTCAATCAGCCATGCATTTTTTTAGAAACTCTGAATTGAAATTGCTCTTGCCTACTTTGGGGACTAAATACCAGTCCTATCTAGCTTTCTTCTTTTACTGCTATCATTTCTACTGACATTTGTTCTACTAGATTCTTTCAGGTAACTGAGTCAATATATGTAGTACTTCTATTCTGCTGGTATAATATTAAACTTGTTTTAAAATTATATTTTACTGATAATGATTGCTTACAGTTGTACCATTTCTGTGAATCCTAAATGTATCAGAGTGCTACACAAGGAAAGTGATATAAAAATGAACCACCCGGAGATTTCAAATGCACCACTGTTATGTGATATTATTGTTACTGACTCAGGAGAATATGATGATTTAACTTTATGAGTAATAAGTCTTGGCCTAACTAACAGAAGCTAATTATAGTAGCTGAAATTGATGGCATATTTGAAGGAAAGACTCAGTGTAGTTTGATACTTTACTTACTTTACTTACGCACTAGTTCCCACCTTAAAAAGAACTGTTAGAAAAATTAACATTGGGAAATATACTGATCATTTTGGAGCACAGCATATCTCTCACATCTATGCTTTTATGTGCTCTTTGTATATCAGTTTAATTACCAAGTCACATAAAATCTATTGTGTGATAAAACATTGCACAAAACACAGTATAGACAACAAATTGTGTATTTTTCTTTTCCTCCTTGAAAAACATTTGAAGGAGAAATATTCAAAATATTTTGCTGTTTGAGACAAGAGTGTCTAAGTTAAATCCTTTGTTTTTACCATCTGCAGGATGGTAAAAACAAATAAACAACAGGATAGTTTTAATGCCTCAATCTGCAACATAGGGTGCAGTCAACTTCCACTTCTTAATAACAGGATCAGCCTTGGCAGACAATCTTTAATGTTTCTAAATGAGAGGCAAGATATAGTGGTTAAGGTATCAGGCTAGAAAGCAGAAGACAGTCTAATCCTGGTTTGGGCATGAAAGCAAGGTGAGTGACTTTGAGCCAGTCATTCTCTCCCACCCCAACTTACCTCACACGGTTATTGTTGTGCAGAAAAGGTGTACTAGATATGTTCACCACCTTATTTATAAAAATAATAAAGGTGGGATTAAAAAAAACTTTTAAAAAAGCAAGCCTAACTAGAAATTAGTCTATGAAGCTAGTTGTGGTCTTGGCATTCAAGCAAATAGGCAGATTCCTATTGACTTGCATATAAAATTCTGCCTTTCATCTTCAAGACCCTTCTGAAGAACCCTCAAGTTATCTACTTATGATTTCCATGCTCATGCCAAAATATAACCCTAGATAAATATATAATCTACAAAATATTCAATGGGCAAACATTGTTCATGAAATAACTGCAACCTTTCTGAACTGGGTTACGAAATCTAAAGAGTTCTGATGCTGCACTGAAGAGACAATGAAAGCTGAAATCCTGTAGCCTCTTAATTTGAAAGTAAGTTGCTTGGAATAAAGGAATTTATTTCTGAGCTGGCAGATATAAAACTTCTCTGCATCCATGTCCAGTTTTGGTTCAGCAGGGTGGGTATGTCCCATTATGACATCTTGTAGGACTAAGGAAGTGTGCCTATTCAGTTAAAATTCCTTTCCCCTGAAGAATTCATGTGATTCCCACCCTTATGTTATTTAGGAAATTATTGAAGACTTGATTGTTCTCAAAGACCTGGGTACAAGGACACTGTGGAATCCCTTTTAGTTCTTTAGGCCATTTTGTTTTAGTCTTGTTATGAATCCTTTGCTTTTCTGGTCATAGGATAAGCTGCATCAAGTGGAAACCTTACATGCCAGTCTTTTGGTTTAAATGGTTTGTGGTTCTCACAAAGTTATCAATCTAATAAAGACTGAGGCCTAGATGCAATCTCAATTAATTGCAAAATAGGATGTACTTCCAGCCAAGTATAACAGCTTTAAAACCACAATTTGCTTAAGTACAAAGTATTTAAGTTTTCATATCCGACTAACACTCTTTCGCAAGCATTGATAGTACAATTACTCTAAGGAAAGTTGGTATAAGAGAAACAAATCTACAAATGATTTGTTCATACTTTAATGAGAAATTGAAATGGGAAGTCACAATAATATGGGATCAATCAACATGTTATCCCACAAATTTTATACACAATTTTTGTTAATATACAATTTTTGTTAATTGTGGTGTGGGTGGGTGTTTAAGATATGAAATGGGAACATTGGGTCCCTCCAAGACTTTAGACACACATGTTTTACCTGCTGTACCCGCCAAATGTTGGCCCTACCTATTCTAGGATTCACAAAAGGAATGGTGGCAGGGCTTATGAAGGTCCTCTGCATTCTGGAAATCCTGGGATACATATTTTACCATTTTATAAGGATTCAGGTTTGGTTCCTAATTCAGGCTGAAAATTTAACCAGTAACAGTAAATAAACAATCTAGTCTTTCTCTCTCATTAGAGGTTCCCCAATTTTTTATGGAGGAAAGTTAAGAAAGTAAAGAAATCTCAGAATGTATGTTCTTTAGTTATTTCCAGGCTCTTGAACCAATCATTTATGGATTCTGGCTCTTGAAAGACAATATTTCTGAAGAATTTATTTTGGGGGCAATCTCCTTCCAAGCTTTTCAAAAAGAAATCCACATTGGGATTTCCTCAGCCTGCAAACATACCCTTTCAAACCCTCACATATACACTTTCTTGAAAGCAAGCGCCTCACCTGAAGTTGAATAACTTGTTTCAGAGAGCAATAAATTTCAAGTCCATATGTTTTTTACAGGATTAACACGAATAACAAATAGATTTAGAAATCAAAATATCTTTTCTTTAGTAATAGCTTTTGCATCACCCTAAGTAACGGATTTACGAAAAGTGCCGCTGCATACAAAGACTTCCTATGCAGAAATCCGCAATATTGCACTCTCAGTAGTTACTCACTGTTCTTACTCGGATTTAAGAGCAACGCTTCCCCCCCCCCCACAAACGCTTAGTCAGAGCGTTGTTAACTGGAAATAGCTGCAAGAATGCATCAAGACCTCCAATGCCACATAGAAACCCAGCAACAATGGAAGTTTGGCCGTCCAAGGGCAGCAAAGCTCTTACAAGACCACAACCAACTTTAAAAAGCAGCGCTGAAAGGGAGGAGGAGCACTGCACAGAAAAGCCCGAGATCAAATCTGATCCAGGTAGCGTTCCACACACACACCCGAAGCGACCACCCCACCTTTTTCTCCAGTCCACGTTACTCTCTCGTTCAGTTGCTCTGCAGCTGCCACGAATCCTCGCCCTCAGAAGCAGTTACCGTACAGACAGCGTCAGCCGGGGTCCGGCAATCCCCTCCCCACTAATAATACCAATGCAGCAGCTACTTCTCCTCTCCCCCCATGCGTAGTACAGCGTATCCCTCCGCTCCAAACCCAACGTTCGGCAGCAGCGGCAGGAGCGGGCGGCGGAGGGATCCCCGCGAGCGCAGGCTACGCGGTACAGCAAAGAGCGAGCGGCAGCCCGCACTCTTTCGACTGCTCTCCCCCCCCCCTTCCTCCCCGGCCGTCTCCCCCTCCTGCGCCTCCTCCTGACGCCGTTCTTTGCTGCGGGGCCGTTTGGGCGCTGCCTGGTGGCCTCGGCTCCGGCTGTCTGTGGGGAACGGCCATTAAAAAGCGAGCGAGCGGGCGGGCGGCCATCGCGGCAGTCGCCAGCGCCTCAGGTGGACCCACCCCCTCGGTCCCCTCCCCCGCTCCCTGCCTCGCCGCCTCCCCGCCGCCGCGCAGAGAAACTGTCCGCTGCGGGGCTCCTCGCTCCGGCTGCCGCCTCCGTCCCCCCTTCTCGCCCGCCCGCCTCTGCCGCCGAACCCCGCTTCCGCCCCCCGCCCCTCCACCCACCGAAGATGGCAGGCTGGCAGAGCTACGTGGATAACCTGATGTGCGATGGCTGCTGCCAGGAGGCCGCCATTGTCGGCTACTGTGACGCCAAGTACGTCTGGGCAGCGACGGCCGGGGGCATCTTCCACAGCATTACGGTAAGGAGAAGCCCGCGGCGCCCGGGAAGAAAAGAAGGAGCCGTCTCGCAGGGGCGGGGGGTGAGGAAAGGCAGGGAGGCGAACCCGGGGTGGGTGGGGGGCTTCCTCAGAGATGCTGGGCTTTGGATCCGCATCTCGTTGGCCGAACCGGGAGCCCAGCTCTGCGGGTGGGGTGGAAAGGGCTGCAACGGAGCCGGAGCTGCGGAGAGCCGCCGATCCCCCAGAAAGCCCGGGAAGGCACCTTCCCATCTTCTCGCTTCACACGCGTCCGCACCACTACCGCTTGCGGAGGGGGCTCGCCGCTCTTCCCACCGCCGAGCCGGGGTGGGAAGGGCCGCCCGGCGCCCCGTCCGGCGCTTCCCTTTCTCTACTTCCCCTCCCCCGCCCCGTCCTTTAGAGAAATCCTTGGAAAGTGGCGAGGGAAGAGGCGGGAGAGGGGAGGGCGGGGAGTTCCCTCGTGGAAGAGTTTTGCTCCCGGCCGCGGCGTTGGCCTCTTCCCGCGGAAAGCCGTTTCCCGAGAGACCCAGCGGGATTGAATGTGTGAACTGAAAGCGAGTGTCGTCCCCCCCCCCATTTTTTTTTATTCCGCCCCCTCCCGGCTTAGGGGCTTGCAGGGAAAGACTCCTCGAGAGCTGGGCCTGGAGGGGATAGTCGTGACTTGGGGGGGGGGAATAAAGGCCCCCCCATATTGGGAGGTTGGGGAAAGCTGCCGTTGGGAGTTTCGCCACAGATTTCAGGTGCACGTGGGGCCAGGTGAAGGTAGAAAAGCCCGGTCCTCCTTGTGGGGGGAGCACCCTTTTGTACGGTAGGGTGCGGGGGCGGCTTTACTACCAGCATTGGACTCAGTCATGCCCGGCAACAGAGCGGGAGGAAGAAGAGGGAAAAGGCCGGACCCTGGAAAGGGCGGGCGGGCGGGCGCGCGCGCTTGCGGATGATTCAGAGGGAGTTTAGCGTAGGAATCCCTTAGTCTGCCTCGCGCTGTTGGGGAGGGATTTGCGAATGCAGCGTAGGAGGCTTTTGTGAATCCGTTCCTCGCCAGTTACTCCAGGTTTTTCGCCTCCAAGATGGCGCATTGCCGCTGATTTTTTTTTTTTAACCCCTCCTTTTCTCACTCCTCTCCCGAGATATTAATCACCTCGGTTCCTGCACTGCAGTCTTCGTCTTTTCGCCCTTTCCTTCTCTCTCCCCCCATCCTGGCTTTCGGACTTATCCTAAAGTGCCCTGGTCCATAAAAGTAGAGCTGATAAAGAAGAGGGATGATCCCTCTAAGAAGGTTCCGTATTGTGTGCTGATCAGCCGGTGTTTGCAAGGCTGAAACACCGCAATTATTGACGATATAAATATTTGTACACATAATCTTCGTCGTGCCAATGCATTCGAAGTACAATTTGATGTTGCATTACAATTCTGATCATGGCTGGCTCTTTTTCTCCGGAATGCCATTTTGGCTAACTGCTTGCCTATCAGTACAAGGCATGTACAAGAATTGACAAAGTATTGAAATACGTTTTCCTCTTTTGTTAATAATCTATTCCAAGTATAACGAGGATTTTGCTTTAGGCATCAGCAATGTTAAAATAAGGCTTAAAATATTTTCTTATCTGCAGCAGGTATATAGGATGGGTTAAAAAAAGCAGTGCCCTTGGTGGCTGCTGAGGTTTTTCTCTATTGTTGAGATGGTGATCATGATAGGTAGACTCCTGGCCTGTACTTGGGAATGACTAGGGCCTGCTATGACTCTGCAGTTCCATTGGAAGGAGACGCCTTCCAATGGAAAAACGTGTGGGAAACACATTTTCTAGCTGAGCTGCCTCTTCTATTATTGTCTGTATTGTTTGAACAAAATGCTGGCCTGGGTTTAGAGAAAAAAGACTGATTTGTAAGCAGCTTGCTTATTCTATTTTCAGCTGTTAAAACAAGCCATGCTTGTTGCTTCATTTCCCTCTTCTGTATAGCTATCCCATGGCAGTTCTGAAAACTTACCCATTTTTATCTGAGCAATTCCAGTAGCTTTGGACTTGCTAAAATGCATTATATGTTTGCACAAATTTGCAGTAATGGGAGTAAAGAACCCTGTGTGCTTTACATTTGAGAAACCTGGTTTAAGAAGCCCTAAAGTTAATATTTAAGGATATTCTGCATTTTGTCCTTCAGTATTTAATGTACACTATTAATGACTTAAAACTGTTGTTACATTGCATCTAAGAGGGTTTGTGGTGAGCATAAGGCTGTTGATGGATTGGTTCACCTTCTGTCTCAGATCTATGCTGAATTTAAAGGTGGTGCCTATTCATATAGTTAAATGTCTGTGGTGCCTATTCCTATACTTCTCTTTGATATTTATTTAAGAAATATCTCCTTAAGCTACATATAACTTTGTTAGCACTCAAAATAACTTTTATACAGTAAAGTTCCACGCAAAGGTGCATGACTTAACCACAAGTATTTCATGCATCCCATGAAAGGATTGGATACAATCGTAAGAGTCTAAACAAAAGCTGGCATCAATTTGTAAATTTTAAAACTACTAAGAATTACTGAAAATACATAATAAAGTAAAATTTACATTACTCTTTATTTATTTAAATTTTTGCTCTGGGTTCACCTTTTTAGAGTGCAACTGTGACATGTCTTTCAAATCTAAATGTGTTTTCTCCTTAGAGATTGTAGTTCATAACTAAAGAACAATCCCTTGAATTCAGATTTCCACCCTTATATTAAATTGCTAGAGAAGTTGCTATTGAACTTCTAGATTCATAGATTCTTCAGTATGCAGCATTCAGCTAAAATTCTGGATTTCTCTCTTTGACAGCCTATAGAAATAGATATGATTGTAGGAAAAGACCGTGAAGGTTTTTTTACCAATGGTCTGACTCTTGGTGCAAAGAAGTGTTCTGTGATCCGAGATAGCCTCTATGTGGATGGTGACTGTACAATGGACATCAGGACAAAGAGCCAAGGAGGCGAACCAACATATAATGTTGCTGTAGGCAGAGCTGGACGAGGTAAGCTTTTTCTTCAACTATTGTTTGATTTGCTTTTTTGTTAAATAGAAAATATGCCGGCAATAAATAACATAAATTTATGTCCAATAAAATTTGTTCATAAAACTGTTTTGTCCGTATTGGTAATACAAGAATTCACAGTATTAAGGCTTAATGCTGAGAATGTAAATGAGTTGACTACATTACTTTCAAAAAAATTGTGGCATATGTATGTAGCAATAGAGAGCAGGGGTATCATGAACCATTCAACTGTCCATTTAAATAGTTTACAAACTTATATTAAGCTCATAGGCATTCCATTAAATCATTTTCTGAATTTGGAGTGGGTACAAGTAGTTCTCAATTTATGACTACAGTTGGGAACATAATTTCCTTTGCTAATTGAAGTGGTTGTTAAATCAACCTGGCTTTCCCCATTGACTTCATTTGTTGGACACCCCCTGGGAAGGTCAGAAATGGTGATCATGTGATCTCAGGGTGCCACAACCATTGTAAAACACATGCCAATTGCCAAGCACTCAAATATTGATCTCATAGCTGTGAGGATATTGTGATAGTCATAAGTGTGAAGATGGTCATAAGTCTTTTCCCCCCAGCACCATCATAACTTAAAAGTGGTTATTAAATGAATGGCTGTAAGTTAATGATTACCTGTATTACTTTTGGCTTCAGAGTTCAAAAGGTCTCCAAACATTTCTGTGGATTGTACTTACAGCATAAATAAGAAATGGAAGTTCAGGTCCTATTTTCCTCCAGTCCTCTAGGGTAGAGTAATTTGAAAAAAAAAACAACTTACCAATGGTCAAGTCACTGCTCAGACGTGGATTTGAATATGGTTCTTTCAGATACAAATTCAGCATCTTAACCAGCTGAGACTTTTAAGTATGCAGTGTATAGAAAAAGTAGAACAATATATACATGGACACTTTTGTAGTGAGAACATCTTGAGAACAGAATTACTATATGTTTTAGTGACATCTGGTGGCATATAGGAGAACATGCGAATACATTCTAAATATTTCTGAACTATGCTATTCTGAGCTATACTGCAAATAATTTTGATCATGTTTAAACCAAGTGTTTTGATATATTTACTGTAGTTATTTCAGCTATAATTCCCACATAAATATGCTACTTCTCAGACATTACAGTTTTATCTGCCTGCACTTTTTATTAACTTTTGAAAAAGAAACATTTGAATAAAGAATAGTTCTGTGTAAATGATTGTTTTAATGTGAAAATCTGAGTATTCTTATTACAGTGCTTAATTAACACTATAATTGTTTTCTCTTTCAGTCTTGGTCTTCGTAATGGGCAAAGAAGGGGTCCATGGAGGCGGATTGAATAAGAAGGCATACTCAATGGCAAAATACTTGAGAGACTCTGGGTTCTAGTTGCTAGGCAGACTGTTAAGTATTAGGGAAAATTGCTATTAAACTTTCCTGACAGTAATCTACATTGTGGAAACTTTATTAGCAATGCAGGGTGATGGGGAATGAACCTGTGTCTCCTTTGTATCCCTCTATTGGTGGGGAAAGGTGTTATTCTTTCTTTATTTCTGTTCATCCTTGTTTCCTTGTGTACTCCAGCATTGGTTATGGTTATGGGAAAGAGAAACTGTCCGAAGAGGGACACTCAATAAGAAAGCTAATGAACTGGCTTTATACCTGCAGAGGTTTGATATCTAAACAACCTCTCCCCATTCACATAGCAACTCTCATCACAATCCTCGTGTTCACCGTACTACTAGCCTAAAGATGGCAATTTATTTACACATCTTTTCCCTGATGTCATGGCTTCAGTTACTCTTTATGTTAATCATTGTTGTATCCATATTCTGTATCTGGCACCATCTATTGCAAACAGATGATATGCATGATACATTGAAGCCTTGGGAAAAAAAATCATGCTAAGTCCAGACTTTGCTTTGTCTTAGCAAATAATGTGACATTGAGAACTAAACCAGTTTAAATGAAGTGAAATAAAGGTGCCGATTGTACAATCAAGATTGATCAATGCCTCTTCAGCACTTTGAGCATTTACACAGCTCATTAGTCTTCCTTTGTAGAGCATGGTTGGGAGGGGTAAAATGCATGCATATCTCTACTTTCTTCCCCCTTGTCCTCATCCACTTTTTTGTTTCTTTGCTTTCATCTTCTATCTATAAATACATTTTTTAAAATACAGTGCCTGGTTTGTTTAACCAATTTGCTGCTTGAAAGCTGTTAAAATTGTTGCTCTAGTTTTGTTGTTGCTCTTCTGTGTAGACTTGCAAACTCTTCATGATGTCTGAAGCACATCCTGCTTTAAAAGGGTAACTGCAAAACTATGAAAAGGTGCCGATGCACTTCTCCCATCACCAAACCACCATCACCATCTTGAATGAATCCCCAGGGACATTCCATCACCACAATAGCTCAGGCACGTAACTTTTTTTGCCAGCTCCTGTTCTGTAGTTGAACTGTAAAAAGGCTGCCATCATGGACTTTAGATATCCCAGTGTAACCATCTGGAGTGTGTCCAGTTTCATTTTTTTTCCATAGGACCAATTTTGATTTGCAGCTTGGGTTTTATATGATACTGCAGTGTCACCGTCAGCAAACTGCCACCTTTGGTTATATAGGTAGCACCTTGACTGACATCTGTCTGTTGGAACGTTGAAAGGATATTAAGACTTGCTACTTTGATACCAGTGTATGTTTTGAAGGTTGGTAGTTTAAAATAAAAGTCCAAATAATACCATTTCAAATCTAATTTTCATTTGGCCTGTCATGCCCTAGCTGCAGAAATTGTGAAGTAAATTGCCTTGTGCATTAGTCATCTGAAACATGTGTAAACAAATTGTCAGTTTGAGCACGGTACTAACATGTATGTCCATTTAAAAGAGAACTGCAGAACTCTGTATACAGAAAATGAAAGATGGTCTTGGTTGGAATAACTGAGTTGGCTGTCTTGTGATAAATTTTTAATATGTATTCTGTGCCATACTAATGTTTAAAAAAAGGATCTGTTGCTATTGTGAGATGGATTTTAACTACAAGAATGGCTTCTGAATGGCACTACTTTAGGGACACTCTAGTATTTGCTTCTATTGTTTGAGCCTTGTGGATAATGTACAGACTTAAACAAATTCTTGTTGCTGATTTGTTCATTTATTTCCCTGCACTTTGTTACATCTGGGATACAGTCTAACTCATCTGATTTAATATGCATTTCAAAAAATGCCATAACTATTAAACACCTTGTTTACAGACAGATGAAATAAATTTATTCCAACCAAATAAATTTCGAATTAGTGTGTTATGTGGGTTTTTTTCTTTTGCTTCGTTTCCCTTGTGGATTATCTTATACTATTTTTTTCCTGTTAAGATCGGTATAAATTTAATTATCATGCAACCTGTTGAATTTAGTGAGTAGGCCAGCTCTGAAGATCCTTTAATAAATATTGATCACATTTTTCAACAGATCAGGAAGGGGGAACAAATCTTTACAATACGTCAACGTTATTTTTGCTGTGCAGCAATTGAAATTCATTAAAACCAGTTTGATCAACAGAAAAAAGCTGATAGCCAAATTTAGAGCTATTGATGAATCTGGATTAATATAGCTATACTCTAACATTTAGTTTTTTGTCTTTTTGAAAACTGCCCTACTTCGGTGGAAGATCTCAATTTCTAGCATTCGTCCTCCCAATGCTTTTATTCAATCCCAAACACTATTTCTTAATTTTTACTGATTTCTGGTAAATAACATTTATTAAATTTGCTTGTCATCCATCTTGACACAAAATGACTGGGTGCCGTAGAACATTAAAATAAAATCATGAATATATAACCATTTACAAGTTGGTAGCTTTAAAATTAAATTATATTACATTTGGAAAAGGTTCCAACTATTATGGTAATACATAGATGGATGTGCAGCCTGATATTGTACAAACCTTTGTATGTTCAAAAAAAAAAAGTTTTCTAGAAAGAAACTTATAAGAAGCAAGTCCACCTTTAAACAATCCCCAGTTTCTAAATCATATTAGATAATTTAAGAAAGGAAATGGCAGTTATCACCCAGATGGGACTTAAGACTTAATGCTGGGATGTGCCTCAGGATCCCAAGCAGCAAATAATTTTAAAGTCTATGCCTGCCATGTGCAAGTAAGCAATATTCTTAAAAATATTTTTTAGGATGAATATTTGACAATTTGTTTTTGTTTGTTTTTTACAAATCAGGTGTAAGAGTTACAAATTCAACTAAGGAAGTTGTTTCAGACAAATGACAAAGCACAGACTTCTTAAAGTATAAAAATAAACAGCTACTGAAAGAACCAAGAAAAAATGTGATCGTTAATTGGGTGAATTGAAGAGCTTGCAAAACAATTGAATAAATTAAGAATACTTGCTAATTCTAGTCTCTGCTCATAGGCAATATATAAATGGGGTTCCACATTTTAGATATCAAATATTTAAGATATCTTGAGCCCTCCTTTACAAGATACAGTACTTTAAACGTATGATGAAGTATATAAGGTATGCGTGTGTTGATGACTCACAGTAAAGGCTTTTTTATTGATTGTATAAATAATGTGAAAATTGAAGTGATTTATAAAGAGTTTATGATTTTTTTCCCCTCTTGTTCACTTTCTTGAACCTTATATAGGCATGAACGCCAGCTGGGTGACTTTGGCAAGCCACTCTCCTTCAGCCCAACTCACCTCATAGCATTGTTACAGAGAAAATAGGAGGAGGAAGAAGTACTAGATATGTTTGCCATCTTAGTTATAAAAATAATAAAGTCTTGATTAAAATACAATAAATATGTGAAAGAGAAGTTATTTCTTGTTCAGAGAGGCTTAGATAGATAAGGTAGATAGTTACAAAAATAAAGGTTTGATAAAAATAAATATGAGTTGTGTGTGTGAGAGAGAACTCTGTTCAAGTCTGGCTGGCCTAAACTGCATTCAGGAAACTAATACGATGCATACATAAGCAAGTATTTTCCAAAGCTTCTTACTATTATGCTAGTTCACAGGTCTCATTCAGATGCAGCTTTTTCACAAAGAGAATGGCATTTTTTAATTTATCATAAAAATCCATGACAAGAGTGTTTTATTGAAATTTCTGATAATCTGCTACCTAAACACCAGCCATGCAGGAAAGGGGCATTACCATTTTTGGAAGGAAAAAAAATTCACACAGCCTGTTTTAATGTAGATTTGCATATACTGGCAAAATGGCTATTAAAGTGGAAAACGTATTTATTAACATCCTTTCAAACTTTCCTGTACAAGGCTATATAAAAAACCCCTGTAATTTGACTTATACAGAAGCATGGCTACATTTTTTACATAGTTACACTTCTATATAATGAAGTTCTTTTCATGATAAAGTGTAAGTAAAATCCTGTTAAGCTATGAGCACTCATTTTCAAATTCAATATGTAGTTTGATTTGTTTCTCTGTATAGTTTTTACCAAGCTAATGTAGGATCAGACATTCTTATTACAAGGTATACCTACCTCCTTTATGAATCTTTATGAAGTACTGCACACAAAATTGTTTCCAAATATGGCATAAACAAAATTAAATGTTCTAAACTGTGTGCTTTAAAGTTGCCTTTCTGCATTGGTCCCAATCCCCGTCTCAAAGCGGAGTATTAGTGAAGTATGCCAATGAACAGGGTTATCCTGTTTATTTCCTTAAAGATGGGTTAGGCTAAGCCATGTTGAGATTTCTTTGCCAGGTGCTTACAAATGCAATAGGATAATGAAAAGACAGTCAAAATCCTTCACAGAGTTCAAAGCTCCAATTCCTCTTTGTTGGGAAATACTCTTGGCAGACAAATACAGAGAACAAGTATATCTTGTTCTTTAAAAGGTGCTGGTTCTTGTAGAGAAAGCCTTCACAGACATTAACACCCATACATTTTTGGTTGGTTGGATGTTTAGAATAGTACTTACCATACATTTAACAACTGAATATAAGTCCCTGCTTACTTACACCCTTGTCGCAGGAAAAACACATGTACGGTCTCGGTTCAACTTCATTTAACAAGATGCTGTTATACCTCTTTTGTGGGGGTGCATTATATTTAGTGGTGGAAGCCCCATTACTAACATTGTGAAGTCCTGTTAAGATGCTTGTCTTCAAAAGACAAATCAAATAAACAAAAAGAAAAACCTGCAATGAGATTAAACTATAGAATGCTAAATGAACAGGTGCTTCTAGTGAAGCAATGGAAGGTCTGCAATGCACTTCTCTTACGTACAGGTACATAAGGTGAGAGGTCTCGGGACAGGAGTTCATGTAACACTGTCCATTTTGCAGTTCAAACAGCATCTGCTGCTCTGTAATCCTTTTCATCATTGGGCTGTAGCTGGACTACTACACTTTCTTCCGTAACTCCATTCTCTGCATCACTACTGTCAATATCTTCATTTCCTTCTTCCTCCTCCTCCTCTTCCTCATAGTCTGAAGATTCTGTCATATTGGGATGAGAGTATGACTCTGATAATGCCCCAAAAGACTGAGTGCTAGCTGAAGCAATCGGCCTAAGCAAAGGGGTATTCTCAGAGACTTCATTCTCCTGACTGCTGTCTGTTTCAGAATCGGAATCTCCCTGAGAAGGGACCACTTTCTGTTTACAGACAGGACATGTTTTCTTCGTTTTAGTTAGCCAAGGATCCACACATTTGCAATGGTAGGCTGCCAGAAAAAGAAGAAAAGAAGGGAAAGGAGAAAGATGTGTTTGAAGGAGACTGGGGAAAATAGGCAGTTATAGGCAGTTTGAGGATAATTTTACATGTTTTATGATAATACACAAGGCATTCTGTGCCACCCACCTTCAGACCATTTTTTCCTATAGCAGCCAGTTTACTTCTGAAGAAACTAGATGCTACTTGTGGTGTGAGTTTTTTTTAAAAGTTCTTGCTTACATATTGTCCTACTGCAGAGCAGTAGCCAACGAAATGTCATTACTGAATTTAAGAACTGAAATAATGTTGGGCCTCTGAATAGTCAGGAGACAGTTATTAGTCTATTATAATGCCCACTATAATCATAAGATGCAGTACAAAAAATAAAGGTTAAACTGGCCTTTCTAAGTCTGCAATCAAACATTGTGCTCCCTGTACTAATTTCTACTACTAATAGTTGAATTTCAACTATTATGAAAAATTAAGTTTAATAAAAATCTGTGTTTGTCGAAAGCTGTAAATGTGGAATTGAGCGCAAACAACACAGAATCCACTACAGGAAATGATTTAGCTACAAGCAATGTCACATTTTTAGCTGTAAGCAAGCCACTGATCTGTACTTTTAAATAACACTCATGACTTGGATCTCCTTGGATTATCATTTCAAAATGCAAACTGAAAATAGCATAATTGAGTTTTTAAAAAGTAATAAATGCTGGCCTGCTGTATCAGACAAAGTCCAGTCCAGCTATTCTATTAATCTCTTTAAGAAGGTACAAACTGTCGGCCAGTACATAACATTTTATAAATATGAATTTTGAATACAACCATTTAATATTAATATTTAAAATGTCACCTGTTTCAACAAATTTAGGATACTGAGACCACTGTCAAAATTCCTACAAATATGGGACTGTTTCTTCTCCTTACATGCCATACACCGACCTTATTATATTCTAAATTGTTTCTTGAAATAACAGTAATAAATTTCATTATATGTCTTTGCCCAAGATGGCTGGGAATTCTTGGAGATGTAGTCACAATTCTGTAGGAACCAGTCTTATTTTAATCTGATAAAAAACAACTGCATTTACAAATGAATAACATTTGGTTCTTTGTCTATAAGAAGCAAAAATATTGTATCCCTCACCAAAACAAGAGTTCAGTAAATAATCAAATGTAGCTACTTACCATGAGAACAAGGAAGAATTCTGAGTTTATCTCCATCCTCATATTCATCCAGGCAAATGGCACAAACATCATACTCATCTCCTGAAGCAGAGAAGTTTGAAATGAAAGAGACAGTACAGAAGCAGAATTAAGAGTATATGTAGCAGAATCCATGCCCTGCAGAAATTTATTCAGAGTGCCTTTGGGTAGCTGTTTAAGATCTAAGCCATTATAAGTAAAGTGAGTCATCTAGAATTTACACCTTCCTAGATTACAATTCATTGCCTTCAACCACTATATCAAACTGGCTCTCTTATATAGAGTATTAGCATTTAAATAGTTATATTAAGAATTCAGAACATCTGCTATGCAAAAGTCCTGACTTACAACTGATTTATAATGATTGTTTTAAATTACCATGGCAAGAAGAATACTTTATGGCTTATAAAACACTCTTAGCTGTTGTAAAATGTTGCACATGTGTTGTGTGTCCCCCATCACCTGACCACATTTGGGGAATTTGGCAACCAACCCACATTCATGACTGTTTGCAGCATTCCGTGCTCATATAACTGCAATCTGCAACATTTTTTGCATTTCTCTAATAAACAACCCTATTCAGAAGAAAGGATTCACATTTACGCATATGAGTCTCTTAATTATTGGCATAAAAGGAGTAATAAAATTAGGTCCAGTCTTTTGGGTCCCCTAACTTGAAACAGTCATGACTTACAACCAAAAATCCAGTCCCAATTGCAGTCTTAAATCAAGGACTACCTGTGGCTCAATGAAAAAAAAAGTGCTTTATAACAGCTGCTATAGCCATTCCTTGTATCTTTTAAATTAAGATTTGTATCTGAAAACCTGAAGAACTGCTGCCAATTTAAACAGTTTACTGGATTACTAGAAAGCGACAATTATAAGAACATGAACAAATTTATAATTATTTTAAAACTTGCCATATCTCTAGATAAATGAGAGCTTAAATGTTTAGCTATTTTTGCTGTTTCGTAATATTGTAACTTCTCCCATGTGTTAAAATGCTTCTTATGAACCCAGCCAATTGCACAAATTACAGGAGAATTTTATCATTGTATATAATTGTAACACTTAGTGTAATAGGATGGCAGCTTCAATACAAGAATAGAGCACTTTTGGTGAAAGATATTTCAAGATATATGGAGCATCAATCAAGAAGCTACCTGCAACTTCTTATACCAAAGATCTCTTTTCCTAGTGGGGTGCTGCAAAAACCCAGGAAAGACGAAGTACTAAACTGTTTACAGAACCATCACAGTATCTTTATTCTTTAAAAAAAATTATTCAGTTAAAATGAAAACATTTGCTTTCTTTGAGTTATGTGCCTTCAAGTCAGTTTTTTGACTCCTGGCAATGGCTTAAATGAATGCCTGCAGTTTTCTTGGCAAGGTTTTTCAGAAGTGCCTTGCCTCCTTCCTGGGGCTGAGAGAAAATGACTGGCCCAAGGTCACACAGCTATCTTTGCATCTAAGGTGGGACTAGAACTAATGGTTCCTTCCTTAGCCATTACATCAAGCTGGCTCTCTGCAAATGATATTTAAGAGGGAAAAATCTCCCTCATAAATAACTGATTTTTTTTCCTGGAGGAATGTGGCATAAAATTAGTAAGGTTGGTCAAGAATCTGAGAAACATTTCAATTTTTCATTTGCTGTGGCTGAAGGATCCTGGCTAGATTTCCAAAGCAATTCCCAATAAGAAATATAGAGTATTCTAGTCTTTAAGCACTAAAATGAGACACTGTTGCCAGATTTGCTTTCAGGAGATACAGATAAAGCTGGCAACAATAAAGGTTTGCTGCCATCCTCAGTATTGTTCTGCTAACAGACTATAGGGCTATCCCAAAGTGCCAGAAATTTCATTATTAGTCAGCTAAGTGACTTTGATGAGGGAGTAAATTGTGTGGCTACTGAATCTGCAGTTGTCATTAAGCCAGGAGAGTGAGCTCACTGTACAGAAAACTGAGACATGACTCAAAATTATATTGGCAGGTTGGAGCAATGAGCTGAAGCTAGTGTGAGTTTTAATTGAGCTACCAAAAATTAAAAATGGAAGTCAGACTACACTTGCATTCATGAGCTGGGTGGCCATAAACTGATTTAATAAACAAGTGGACTAAATGAATACATGTCACATGGGGGTCTTGACAATATAGATGGTCTTCACTTAACAACCACTCATCTGTAACTGTATTATAATCTGTAACTTATGATGGTGTTGAATGAAGTTCTAATCATCACAGCATCCTGTGATCATATGATTGCCATTTGTGATCTTCACTCCTGGCTTCAGACAAGTAGTCAATGAGAAAGACAGCAAGAAGCTGCAAATGGCAGTCATAATCATGTCATGCTTAACAATGTCTTAGGATTTGTTTAAGGGTGGCAATTCGGAATGCCAGAATTTCTGTTGCTACACTTTAATGTGATATCACACTTTAGAACCATATTGTTTAACCCTGAAAATTCCAGTCTCATGTTAACTGAGATCCACCAGTAGACATGAAAATGATTTAAGATATTCTAAATAGAACATGATGTGACTCTGTTATTAATTTTCATTGATTAGTGCAATCACAGGCCATATTTCATGGAAAATACAGGAATCGGGCTTCAGGCAGAGAAATATGTCAAATTTACCACACTGAAAGTAAGATACTGATATATTGAAACATGTCACAAACAAGAACCTTGATGACCAAGCCCAATGAAGACTCGGAAAGATATGGATATCTCCAGGCATCTTAGCTCTAAGATGTTAATTCGTCTTTGTTGTTACAGAGGACAGGACTAGAATCAGTAGATAAAACTGTAATAAACAGATCTAACAAAACATTAGAAGTACTGTATTAAGGAGGAAAAGAGCTGCAAATAATGAGACCAAAGAGTTATAATCAGAGGCAGGGTGGCTATTTCTCCGTAGAATGAGTAATCTAATTATTAAGATATTTGCATCCCACCAGAAGCAGAGCAGAAACTGTAGTGCTAGTACACATATAGAAAAAAGGTTCACCAAAATTAATGCTGGTAACAATTCAGACTTTCTCATCCTAAATACTAACAATGCTCCAGTTCCCTCATCTCATTACTGTGATATAACTGTCAGGACATTTCCCCATTCCACCCACAAGGAAAGCTAGTTTTTATGCCATACAAGAAGTCTCAGTGTTGTCAAGATACAGCCTAGAACCTGTTGGCTCAGATTTAACACAAAAATTCAATTGGGAGATGAAAGAATCCCTCTCTTTTTCTAAAAGTTTCACTAATTAGTCTCATCTGAATGCAAAGAATGGCATAAAATTTGCAGGCAATCAGAATGTGTTATAGTTGAAAGAAAATGAAGGAATGCCTAACACCAAGATTATACTCCAAATCTGCCCTCCAAATATGAAATATAAAAGCAGAAATAGTTAACCATTCAGTGTCAATAGGATTTGACCAGCTGTAATTGGTGCTAATGGATTTTGCATTAGTGCCCTGGGAAATCTTCATCTTCAACAAATGGCAATTCTGGCTCTTCTCTTGCCAAATACTGTATCACAAAGAGCTAATTCTGAACTAGGTTTTCTAAGGTACAACTTCTTCGTGCCAAGAACTACAGGGATTATGTAGGCTTGCTTTGTTTAGATGCTGTCGTTCTCATAGCAATGCCTTTGATTAAAGAAGCTTTATAATGCTTTTTGTGTTACATTTTTCCACAATCACATTTGTTTTCCTCTGGGAGGTTAGTATACACAATTTTACAAGCAATTTAGTTGATATTATAGCACTGACAACTGAACTATTAATGGGAGAGTAAGTTCTGTCTTGATGCTTTCCAATTAAAACTGTTGGGGGAAAAAAACCTAAAGATTTGTTTTTTTTAATTAAGTACATGTAAGTCTGTAAATACTGTGAAGTGGCAAGAAATTTGGCTAACTATACATAAGAGAAAAAAAATGCTTCACACACCATAGGCAATTAGGTCTGTAAGCATCCAACAAAGCATATTAAGATTATAAACCACCAATATTATTCTTGTAGCTCTTTTACACACAATATAATCAATCTATTTTCACAGTAAGTAATGTGAAAATGTTAATTGAGTATTTATATTTAAAAGCTGGGAATGGTAGAAATGTGCAAGTAATGTCGAACAAGATGACCTTTAGTTTAATGCAATAGAAATCAAGTTATATTTGAACTAGGGTGTTACACTTTGTGACATATCCTGCAATTTGTTAATGATATATAAATTATAAGGGGTACCTATAAACCTGTAAGTAGTTAATTAGTTTCCATTTTTCAGGGAATTATTTCTGTAAAGTAATAATAATATCTGCTCTGCCCTTCTATGTCAGATAAATTGAAGAATTATAGTGTATATAGCCATTACTTTTAAAACAATTATCATGTTATTAGAATGTTTGTTTCAGGAGATTTGAAAAGAGGCATTCTGGAAACAGAGGAGTCCAATCAGTTCAAATATACTAATATACAAAAATATTTTTATGAAAGAATGGATTTATTTGAGGCATAAAACACTATTAACTTTAGAAGGGCATGGCCTTCAATTAGGTTGGTATGCTTTCCTATGGTATGAGAAGAACAAGATACATAGTTATTTTCAAACACATTATGTTAGAAATGTGTTATTATCAGTATGGCTTAAAATTAAAGAACAACACTACCTGAAAATACCAGTCTGGCTTTCCACAATGGAAGCATTGCTACATTCTAATGTTATTAATATGGAAAAAATTGTAAGATATAAAGATATTTTGAATGGAAAAGGGGAATTAAAAACCAAGGAACTTAGTAGACAAGGGATGAACATTGCATGGTGGCCACAAATGCAGATACAATCTCAGTACGAGAAACATGCTAAAATATATGGTTTTAATAAAGAACTAACAGAATTGGACCAGATATTAACTGGAACAGATGAAAATTTGATAAAGAAAACATATTTTATTATTTATGTTATTTATTGGGTATTAAACTTGAAAGTGAGCAGGTAAAGGAGACAATGATTGTTTGGGCTAAAATTTTTGGATATGCAATAGAATTAGATAAATGGCAGAAAC